CTGAAGACAAAATTGAAGGCGCACAAACAGGCAGCAAGTGAAGACGGCTACAGTGAAACCCTGGCAAAGCATCTCCAGGGAGGAATCTCAGCATTTCTTGGTGACCATGGGTTCAAGATTTCAGACTTCCTGGGCCAATGACTGCAAAGCATTTTCAAGGAAGTATTAAAAATAATATTATATTTATTGAATTTATGACTGTGTTAGTTTGTCCAATTATTTTTCAATCTGTGAAAATGGAGGGACCAATGTAAGACATGGCTATAATTCTTAAATGGTTAATGCAATATAACTCCTTGAATTAAAGCTGAAAGTCTACACTTCAATAACATCTTGATTTCTTCATTTCAAATACAGTGTGGGGGTGTACAGCGGTGAAAATACAAAAATTGTGTCACTGTTCAAACACTTATGGACCTGACTGTATCATTAAATTGGTATACCTGTCCTCCAGTATTAATGAGTTCAGGAAGAAGGAGTTTGAGATTTGTCTTTGTCTGGATGATCTGGAAATTATTGACCCTAAGTCAATTGCCGCTACTTAATCTTTTGATAAGTAATGATTTCTGTCTTTGTATGTTTATGTACCATTCACACTATCAGCATTTGATTGATTATATTAAGACATCATTTTATTTGCCTGATACTAAAGGTAACAGTTTGAACATCTGCGTTTTTATATAATATAATATAATATTATTATTTATCTTATTATTAATTTTCCACAGATTTTGTATGCTATTTCTACCTTATCAGAATTCTCAGTCTCATCTTTTTCAGGCATATTAGTACATGCAGCCTGAATATGTGGAAGAAAAGACTTTTGGTGATCCGTGTAAACTAACAATGCTCATTTGCAGTCATGAGAGGATTTTCAAAATGTACCCTCTAAGACTGTGGGATTAGGGTCTGCAGCGTGCTCAGGGATCCTAAACACTGTGGAACGTGCACTGATGAGAAATGAGGCGTGTTTGCTCAGGCTTGATCATTCACATGTGAATATTATAGTGCTCACAGTTTTAGACACCTCACCTATATTTCACCTTTTTTTTTTTTTTTTTTTACTTTTCACATGTAATGCATGTGTTTTTATTTTTCACACATGATTGTTCATTTGTATGATTCATTTATTTTCATATCTGAATGTGTTTTCAAAATCTGTTTTACTCATTATTCATTTATTTTCATCTGATGTTCATATGATTTGTTTGTTTTCACATCTGATGTTCGCACGAGTCATTTATTTTCATGTGCAATTTGTAAATTCTGATTTTTTAAAAAAAAAATCTTTTTTATGGGTGATTTTTAAAATTTATTTATATTAATTTATTTATTTACATATGATTCATTCATTTTAACATATGATTTGTAAATGTGGTTTTATTTCTCACATATTATTCACACAGTGTCATGTGTTTACTGGAAATTGCTTGTGCTGGGCGTGTTGAAATGCACTTTCATAGATTTTTCCTATGATCACATATTACTAACATTATAGTCTTTGAACACAGCGTTAATGCATAAAAATGTAGATACCTTCAACCAAAGACTTATCTTACCTCAGATCCAAACAATATATAACTATTGTTCACCTCCTGTGAAGGACTGCAGATTCACTCAAACACACACACACACACACACACACACACACACACACACACATACACACAAACACACCTGTGTGTACCACGAACCCACACTCGTGCAACAGACATCCGGACGAATGCCCCCGCACCTCTGTGAGAAAACACACACGCGGTGGGATTGTGATTGCTTGAAAACAGCACCTGCTCCTCCATTTGAAAACTATTTAGGGAGGCATCAAACTCTATCAGAGCAGGTCTGATTGCGGCCAGCTCTTCACAATCCTCCAATCACTCAGGGAGTCAATTAGCCCCCAGACTGCAGGCCTCCTCAGCTGTGCGCTCGCAGCGCGAAAGGGAATCCATTCAGCACCGCCGAGCAACACCTGAGGCCCCCCTGGCCTTCCTCCCCCTCTCCTCCTCATCCTCCCATCCTCCCTAAACAGCTAATGGTGGAGCTCCAAGGGCAAACAGTACTTGAAGGCATTCAATTCACCCCCATTGTCCTCCTTTACTCCAGTCCACCAGGAAAAGCTTCATGAAAAGCCATTTAGTCAAAAAAATACACACCAGCTGAGTGGAAGAGAAGCTTGAGTACTCCTTGTGATATTGTTAATATGTCCCTGGGTTTGTTTGTCTGCTTCTTTTTGTATTGGTGGGATTATGTGTGTGTGTGTGTGTGTGTGTGTTTGTATGTGTGTGTGTGTGTGGAGTTAGAGAGAGAAAAAGAGAGAGAGAGAGAGCCCTGCCACAATTTGCTGTTTCTTTGGGTGAGCCTGTGCGTGCAATCAGTTATTTATTCAGGCCTCTTTTGAAATAATCGAGTTGACACATCTGTCAGACGGCAACAGGAGGAATGCTAAAAGGTCACGGCGAAAGATACCAGCTGCTCCAGACGAACCTTTCCTGCCTCCAAATAGCACAGTCATTACGCCCCAGCAGATGGGGTCCCGGAGCTTTCATTTCGCTTTCCAGGTACGACAAATGCAACCGGCGAGGTCAGCTCAAGTTGTTCGGCTCACCCACAGCCAACTGCCACAATCCCACGATGGTGCAAAAGAGAAAAGAGAACCTGTCATGCCTGGAGCTCAGCTAATTAGTGTAATGTTTTGCCTCATAAACAGTCAGGTCTAGGACTGAATCCAAGCATCTGGGTGTTTGGTAATTATTTCATTCTGAAAAAAAAGCAAACATTAGATAAAGTGTTGGGAGATAAAGCAGGGAGCAGTGAAGCTGGTGACATATGAAAGACATTAACCAAATGCCTTGGGCTGTGCCTTAGGAAAGGGCTTTAAAGATCGCATGAACATTATAAGGACCCGTGGAAAGAAAATCATCTTTGATGTGAATTGGCATGCACTCATACTCTGTTTTACATCAATGACAGCATATGGCATTCATAATCATGTTGAATCTGCATGCTTGAAATATAGACACTGGGAGTTTTTGAGCTTCATGAAAGACTTCAGGAAGGCAAATTGCCTTTCAGCTTAAACAAAGCTAAGATATTTATCTTCTTTGCATCCATATGCTTGTAATATAAGAATATACTGAAAAACAGCATCATGTAGTCAACAGAGGCCAGTGCGTTTAAAATTAATCGCAGGATTTGACCTCAGGATTAGTTATTATGGTTTTAGGAGCAAAAGCCAAGTCAAATGCCAAGACAATCGGCCAATAAAACACAGTGTAATTGTATTTCTATGATGATCCAACCAGCATGTGAATAGTTTTATGTCTCCTCTGGAATCTATTTAACACAACACACTATTGTTTTTACATCTTTTTCTCTCCCTGTTTATCTCACTATATCTGTCTTTTTAAAAATGTTCTTCAGCACACTCAAAATTTTCAGAGAACATGGGACATGATAAATGTCCTAAATTCAGTCTTATGTTATTCACCTGAATCTGTTTTCTGTTATATGTTGTCTTCCAATCAGAACCAGCATGTACTGCAAACATGCCTGTTTGTTTAGTGCTTTTTTTACACTGTTAAAAAATAAAATAAAAAAATTAATATATTACACTGTAGCAAGTGGAAATACATTGAATATAGTCGAAGTTATCGTTATTTATTTCTTTATTTCTTTATTTCTTTCTTTATTTATTTATTTATTTATTATTATTATTATTATTATTATTATTATTATTATTATTATTATTATTATTATTATTACTTGTAGAAATGAGCTATTTGCACTTATTTCAAGCTTGAAATATTCTTCAGTAATTTTGTTGTTAGTACAAATTCATGAGCAAGTAAGTCCTTAATACATGAAAAGTAATACAGTATATGAAAAGTATTCATGAAAGGTTCCCAAATTCTAGAGAAATTTGACTTTTAATTTTAAGCCATATCTTAAATGGTCCAATGTAATATATTTAATGTTTTTCATAGATAATAGATGAATGAAAAATAAACCAAAAATTAAGCTACTTTCCAAACAGAGTATGTGTGTATTTAACTACAAATGCATAAGTAAGCATTTACCTCTAGTAAAAGCTGATGTAAAAAAAAAAAATCCATATTCATGTCAAAAACAATTTATTGGTCAATATTACACTAGTCTTAATAGTCCATAATGGAAGGAAGGCAAACGATGATGAATTATTCATAATGTTTTATGCATATTTTAAAATATCCAGAGCAACATTACGAATGCTACTGACTTCTAATATATCACACCCGTAGAGAATAAAAGAAGCTCTTATCTCCAGTTGGCCTTAGCCGGGACTTCATTTGTCACACATATGTGATCCATTAACATAAATAGTGTGGTATTAGTGCTAGTGTGCTATTAGAGCTTGAAGCAGATGATGCCTGTGAGGTGTTGTGTTTGTGTGACTGTGGTGCTTCAGATGCATCCTGTCACTGGTGGGGGGATCAGGATAATAACATTCATATTTAAAGCTGATTTGACAGACAATGAGTCTGGGGACTAAAAGAAAGCTTGATAAAGCTTTGGTGATAAAGGGCAGCAGTCAGGACTAATCTACATTAATTTCTCTGGCCTAAATATCCTGGTACACACACACGCACACACACACACACACACACACACACACACACACACACACACACACACACACACACACACACAATAAGGTGTACAAGTTCAGCACCTTTCACCCTCGTGATTATTTACCTACTTAGGAGTGAATGAATGTCACTTTACTCTTTACTCATTATGTCTTGCTGTCACACCATCTATCAGCAATATAAAGTGTTACTATTCAAATAGCACATAAACCAACATGCCAGATGGCAGGATGTGCAAATTAGAAATAAAGGTTATGTGACAGGGATTGTTAAATTTCCCTTTAACAAAAGTACACATACCAGTCATACCAGTCTCTGTAATATCAACAAGACGTGTTAAACAGTATTTTAAGGAACACATAAATGGGTCAGGAGGGCATGGTGGCTTAGTGGTTAGTACATACTTGAACATCCCCATTGGGTTGGGGGTTCGAGTCCCACCTCTGCCCTGTGTGCATGAAGCTTGCATGTTCTCCACGTGCTTCAGGGGTTTCCTCTGGGTACTCCAGTTTCTTTCCCCAGTCCATTGTAGGCTGATTGGTGTCTCTAAATTGTCTACAGTGTGTGAATAGGTGTGCAATTGAGCCCTCCAAAGGGTTGGCAAACTGTCCAGGATGTCCCCCGCCTTGTGCCCCGAATCCCCTGGGATAGGTTCCAGGCTCCCTGCGACCTCACAGCTCCAGGGACCATTACTATCTGTGTAAATGTTCTTTCCATGTTTGTCTGGGTTTCCCGCAAGACCATTGTTTTCCTCTTAACTGTACAAGAACATCCATGTAGGTGGATTTGCTACACTAAATTGCCACTAGGTGTGAGTGAGTGTATATGGATGATGCCCTGCAATGGACTGGAATTCCATCTGGAATTAATTCTCTCACCTCATGCATAGACTCATCATGACCCTGTCCAGGGTAGACTGGTTACTGAAGTTGAATCTAGTAAAATGAATTATGAATGCCTTATAATGTGATACGTTTATTATAAATATGACCTTCATAGAAAGTGTTAGCTTTTAGTTTTAGCTTTAGCTGTTTAGTTTTAGGTGTTCTTCTTATTTTTTCCCATGTTCCTTGGGAATTGAGAATAAGTTCAAATAAAAACACAATTCATTCATTCTTCAGAAATCATTTCATCCAGGTCAGAAATACACCCTGGAGCTGTGAGGATGTGCATAATGCATGTACACACACACACACACACACACACACACACGCACTATACTGTATGTTTGTAAGTACACATATGGGTGGTGGTATGTCACAGACTTTTGAGATACAGGACTAATCATAACTCAACCAACCTACTTTACAAGCTGAGCCATGGGCAATGCCAGCCTGCAGATTTATGATGCTTTACATATTAGCTGCAAGCTGGAAGTGGACGGGATAATGAATGTGACAGACAAGCAGCTGGCAATGGAAGGCGAAAAGTGCTGTGTTTGCTGCATTGATAGAATTAACAGACCAGAAAAATGGTTTCTGGAATCAACTAACAGTTCTCGGCAGACATTTTTACTATCAGCTGATAGGCAGTGGATGGGACAGAAGCTTAGGTACAGGAAGTCTGTGACGTGATGTCTTTGTATTTGTAGGTGGAAATTCCTTCGCAGAATTGAAGACCGTTCTGAAGAGCTACCATGTATTTTATTTTTCTACATGTGCATCAATGTTCAACTACACATTTGACACACAAATCGATAGAGCATATCTGAACTACAGTTACACTGTTCCCGTAATTAAGTCTGGCTTTAAAGTCTCTGTACTTTACTTGAATTTTTCTTTTACCTTCTACTAATACATCTTACTTTTGCTTCCTTTCATTTCAAAAGTCAAATCTTTCAGTTCTACTCGCTACATTCTCAAACATTACTACAATTCTCTATAATCATATATTTGCAAAGTCATAAGGTGACATTTTAGCATGAGACAGCTTTAAGTAGTTAATCTTAATTTAGAACTAATCTAAACTTATCTAACAGATGTGACAGCGAGAATGAGACCTAATACCTATAATCACTGTAATCTACCTGCTGTTACATACTTTTTTTGTGACAGCTAGTGATTAGCATTCAGGTAGTTTGTATAATCATAGCTATAATTATGCTAGGTAACTTTGAAGAAATTACAATAAAGCTGTTCTTACTTAGCCTTAGCTACTGTAATTCCTAATCACTCAAATGCAAGCTAGTTATGAACATTCAAGTACTTTTTATATGGTCAAGGTAAAATTTATCCATAATTTGTACTTTTCTACTTAAAATTGAGTGATGTATTTGAAGCTAATCTTGTTCCAGAACTTTTACCAGATCTTATTCAGATGAGTAATTGAAATTTAAGAGTGAAAAAAAAAAATTTGTATGTTGGAGTGTGAAGTTATGCTAACGCTAAAGCATGGCCCCTCTTCTGCACGTCAGTCAGTATCTGAGTTGCCTGCAGATGAATAGATGTGTTTTGGCAGATATTAGCTCAGTGTGCCCTCAGTCATAACCAGCGATCACTACTGGTTAAAGTTTTGATCTTGTCACTACAACAGTCCCCTAAAACACTGTTTGTATCCCCCCCAACTGCAGTGCTGTCCATCTCTCTCTCCTCCGATCCCCTGATAGCATGTGACAGTTCTGTGTAACTTCTGGAATCAGCTTTTAAAGCTTTTTAAAGAAGGTTTACAGCTGTAACAGTAGTGTGCATGATGTGACTGAATGATTGAGAAGGTCTCTGGCCTCTGTCTCACATTTTATTACAGCTTGGCCCTGGATTGTTTATGGCTTTGTTCCTGTGCTCTGCTCTCCCCACTGGCAGTGCTCTGACAGGGATCCTCCCTGCTCGGGCACTTCCATTTGACACAAACTCATAAATCTTCCCATGAAATAGTGTTGAGCGCACAGGAAAATAGGGGCCCTGAACAGGCTAATGTGTGTGAGTTCAGGTGTCTGCGTATGCCTGTGTGAGTATGTATGTGTGTCTGTCTGTGTGTAAACTCAGTGTGTTCTTTATTAGGGGCAAACCAAATATCATCGTCAACTTCCCAGCAAGGGTTAGGACATAGACAGACAACTTATAATCCATAATCAACAATGAATACACAATCAAGGGTGAAAACCAGGGAACACAGAACTAGAAAGTAAGGCTTGGACTTAACTAAAGATGTATATTAATTTACTGACAAGGCATAGAAACAGCAGGTTAGACATAGACACTAGTTAAGGGCTTTACATGGAACAGTTGGACACATTTGTGTAATCAATCAATAACAGGTCAGTGTGGAGACAGGATGAGAACAGATACGGTCTGTTCTCATCTGATTATCATGTCTGATTCTCTGACAGAACTTCATGTTCTGGTCAGGTAAAACTATTTAAACACTTAAACATTTCAGCAAAAAGTGCTATAACACTAACAATTCTTTTCCCCAACATGAAATATTATTATATTATAATTATATTATTATTATAAGGCTGCATGACATCTACAAAAACCCTTTATGACAATTAATAGAAACTGACATAAGCATCCATAAAGGCTTTTTCCAAAAGCCATTATAAAGTATGCCTTCATCATTCTTGATAAACAGCTTAGTCATGTGACAGAGTTTTGTTTACAGAAGGTTGTGTTATTATACTTTCCAGATGAGACACTTCATGCAGAGGTACCAACCTTGCTAACATCAAAAGCCTGGCAAAATTTTACCATAAAACCCCTTATGTACAGTATGTCAGTGAATGAGACTACTCCATGCTAACAGTATAAATGCTACAGCATGTACTGGTTGAACAGATATTTAATGCAATCTGCAGAATAAATATGTATTATTAATTAATTGTCTTTATTTGAAGGTCTGAACGTTACAGTTTCCATGGCAAAGAAAACTTGTCCTCATGTTTTGGTATCGTACCTACTCCTTTCTCTGCCACTGTTCTGTATTGTTTTGTTACCTAATTGTGTTCACCTGTTCTATGTTAGACCTTTAAAAAACGTTTCCTGCATTTAAGTAACTTTAAGTCTGAGCCTTGTTTTCCTATGATAAATTACAAATCCTGGTGTTGACGCAAGTACTTTTTTCTAAATTTTTGTTTATGGCCTTTTCTATTTAACGTTGCTTGCCAGTGTTTGGACCCCTGCTTTGGATTTGATTATAATTATTATATTTTCCCCTGTGAAGCTCACATTTACAACAAGTGTACAGACTTGCTACCTACCCCTTTCAATCAGTATATATACTAAACTTTGATAAAAAAAAAAAGTGGCCATTACACTTTTATTACTGATTTCACTGGTCATAATTCACCTACATTAAATCAGTATAAAGCAAAGACACCACAAACAGAAGAAAATGCATGTCTTTTATGTCCAATGTCTATTCCCTTTCAGCAAATCAGCTTTTCCAGTGTGTTTGGTCTGATCTCTGCTTTTTTTTTAGAAAGCAGAAAAGTGCAGTTCTCAGGTGTCTCCTGTGTCACCATAGCAACGGGTAAAAAAACTGTAAATGCTACAGCTGAATCATAGATGTTTTATCTCTGCATCATGACAACTGATGTTTTAGCTCAGTTGTACTTCTAGTATGTCAGAGTGACATAACAGTGATAGTACGACATAGTGCCTTGCCAAGTTGCACTTGGTAAAGCAAACAAAGATAAGCAATGAAATTAGGTTAAATTAACAAAACCAATGCATTAAAAACATCAAAGGAAGTAAGAAATGCACTGCCAAGTTCATGGCCAGACAAGATTATTTCAAATCAGATACAGTAGTTTTGGTGTAAGGCCTTTAAATGCACAAGAAAACACACTGCTTTTAGGTAAAAAGGAGGAAATGTAATGAAAGCAGAAAAGACTGTTTCTATTTTTAGTGGCACATAATTAAATGCATAAAAAAGGTGAAGCAGTTAAAAAATTATTTTAAAAAAATCTTTAATTTTGCACTAAAAAAATACAGTACACCATAATATTTTATGTTGCACAGGATAAAAAAAAAGTAGTAAACCACATACCTACAATACGTTAGAAAAATAAGAAATACATTTTAAAAAATGTAAAAATTCAACGTATGTTTCCTTGCAATCAGGAGGATCATGCATTTGGGTAACTTTTTTGTAAAAAATTGTCATAGATATTGATGAAAATGAATATACACAATATTGGTTATTTTAAAATGCCACTTGAAGTCCATAGTGCCTGGGACAGCACTGACAGAGACACTGCATCTCATAGGAAAGCAGCAGGGGAGCAAATAGCTGGAGGCTAGCTGTGAGAGGAGAGAGGGAGAATAAAAGGAGGAATGGAAGGAGAAGAATGTGAGGCAGTGTGTATTTGTGTGTGTGTGTGGACGGGGGGTGTTTCACAGCAGGCTTGTTTAGTGGAAGAGGGTCACCATATGGATGCTGCCAGTGTTTGGGTTCGGGCAGACAGGGTGAGAGTGAGAGGAAAGAAGGCAGACGGGTGTTTGACATGCAG